GGTCAAATGCATCTCTTTTAATAGTGTTGTGTCTACAGAAGGCAGATTTATATAAAAGAATTAACAATAAGGTAGAGGCTGAGGTGACTAATTTCTGTTGTGGTCTGGATGAAAGTTTAGATAGTATTATTTTTTCATTCAATTTGTCCATATGTTGTTTCATGACATTTGTTACAACATTCAGCGTAGCACCATACTTCCTATTTACTCCCCGGGTTCCCAATTTCCATTCATCCTTCTTTCCGGTGTTTTTGTACCTTCTGAACTTGGTTTTTGGGTAAATCCCACTCTGAAGGTATTGTGTGGTTGATTATTCTTAGGAGTACATTCCTCACGGGGATTACTTTTCCCTTTATAGGTAGGTCTATTATTTGGCATAAAAGATATCTCCAGAGGTGGGTTCCACTCCAGGTTTAAGGAGTGTCTAAGGACCACAGTCTCAGGGATTCCACCAATTTTTACCATACCCTTGAGTTGCATCTTTTATTTTTTGAATTTTATTCTACATTTTTCTCCCACTCTGCCCAGAACCTTCCATTGTGATCCTGATCAGAGCAGTTGGTAGTGGGAGCTGGGCACCATCTAGTTCCTCTTGTCTTAGGTTAGTGGAGGCTGTGGTTAATGGGGTCCGTTAGTGTTTTTAAGTAATTGTTTCCTTGAGTCTTTGATTTCTTTCATTCTTCTTTGTTTCAGATCAAAGAAACAAATAGTTGCCTATTAGATGGCTCATAAGCTTTTAAGACCCCAGTGGCTAGTCACCAAAGTTGGATGTAGAGTAGCTCACCAAAGTTGGATGTAGAGTAGAACATTTCTTTTGTGGACTATGTTTTGCCAGTTGACTTTGATGTCTACCACAATTATGATCCTCAATCCCCAGTCCCAGGTACTCATTCCTTCATTAAGTGATACGGATTTTAACTGGCTTTGGGAGGTCAAAGTTTTAATGTAAAGGACTAAGATTTTTGACCCAGTGAGCCTTGAGCTTCCCCTACTAGGATGCTGAGTTTAGGTTCATGTGAAAAACATGACAAGCTTTAGATACTAAAAGTGATTGGGCAGGTCAGTGGTCAGTTTGGAAAATGAGTCTCCATATGTGGTGGTGTTGTTTTTCCTCTTTGGGGAAGTCTTGTTTGGTAGCCTTATCTTGTGAGAGGGTCTGCTATCCTTCAATCTGATACTCTGGCAACTCTTATTAGTTTTATATATAACATAACATAACAACATAATATATATATTTGTATATATAGAGAGAAAGAGAGAAGTTTATCTTAGGAAAGTGGCTCACACACTTATAGAAGCTGGCAAGTCCCAAGTTCTTGGATCACACGTCCAGCTGGAGGCTTTTCCCAACTCACGCAGCTGCAGGGGCTGATGAGCTCAAGGTTGGTAGGCAGTATACCAGCTGCTGATTCCAACGAATGAGGAATCCAGGATCACCAGGCTAAATGGTGGGCTGTTTGCTCATGGACGGTTGTAGGCAGCACAACAGGATCCAGATCCACAGAAGAGTGTCTCATTTTCCCAGGATCTCCACAAATATATTGGAAGCAGGACACACCCCTATGGAAACTCTCTTTCAACAGATTGATTGCTCAAAACATATACATCTGATCCTATCATTGGAATAACCCACATTACAACTGCTTAAACCACTCAGAATTGTGGTCCAGGCAAGCTGACACACAACTCCAACTATCGCAGAGAGCTTGACTCTGATCAAGTAATATTCAAATAATTTTTGAGTCCACTCAGTCCTATGTAATTTTGGTTCCATGCAATTTGGGATCATCAGAAGTTTGTAAATCTATCAGTTTCTACAGTTTTTCTTGGAATGTTTGTTCAGCCTAGTGGTGTCCATGTTCAAAATATTATAGTAGTTTTCAAAGGTCCAATATAGTTCATCATTTGTTGGTACATTTTGATTGATTGGTATATTCTGGTCTTTTTCAGTGTGTCAGCAAAGTAAACACTTATCTGCAGATGACAAATCTTAAAATGGTCATGATTAACCTATGATAGTTCTTAAAAGTGAAGACCTAATGGTTATTAATTTCAAAAGTATTGCAAAGTCAAAGTCAAGTAAAAATACTTGAAACAAGTATCTCTGAACATAACAATTAACTTTATTTTTAAAGAACTTGAGATAATAATAATTTTGAGATGTAATACCATATATTTAGGATTCTATACCAGAAGTACATCAACGTCATTTAGTCTCCAAACATGGAATAGTAATTTAAAGAAAAACACTTTTGGTGAATGATGTGTGTATGCCCATAAAACCATGGATCTGATAATGCTAGATTCAAAAGCTATAAAGTTGAGTTGAAGGTAGTAATTAAAGGTATAATAAAATTATGACATAATTTTAGGCACTTGTTACTTAGTATCTGGCACACTGACCCATAATTTTTTTACCCAAAGAACATTTCTCTCTTCTGGTTTGACAACACATTTCATGTAACACCTTCTACATTAAATAAGCCTTTTAAGCGTCCATTGTTCTCTTTTATACTACAAATTCTATGTGGAAAAGTTGAACACATTTATTAGCAGACCCAAATATATCTCAAAGTATGTAATTTAAAATTATAATCAATGTCTATGAAGTTAATATCAATTAATACTGACCAAAACCTTCCCTCTGCCCATATCCCTTAGTCATTTTTTTTTCTTTATTACAGTTTTACATATTTTTTTCCCTAGTCATCATTAAAGTTAATAAGCTAGATATACTTTGTGTTTATTTTTATTTTTTTTGTTTTTGATTCTCTTCAGAAAATCACAATTCATTGCCATATCCAGGATATCTATGGCCCCTTGAACCTTATTTTTGCTTCTACCTTCCTTTGCCTTAGAATGATTTTGGTTTTATGCTACTCATTCATTTAGGCAACTGGATGACGTTAACAACAGAATATTTGTTTATGCAGTTTTTCTTTAAACTTCTCTAAAAAGAAAATAGATGTGTGTGTATGTGTGTGTGTGTGTGTTTGTGTAAGAGAGCTCTGGTGGTGTAGTGCCTAAGGCACTTGACTGCTAACCAGAAGGCTGGTGATTGAAACCCACCAGCCACTCCTCAGAAGGAAGGTTGGGCAATCTACTTCTGTAGAGATACCACCTCGGAAACCCAAGGAGGGGTTTGCAGCGTCACAATCAACTCAATAGCACTGAATTTGGTAGAGTTTATATATGTGTATATGTAAATGTATCTGTCTATGTAATATATCAAAACATTTATGCTGAGGGTTACAATAGCCATAGACATAGTAATCCTCTTACTAGTGATCCTGGGAATAAATCTTTGGGGTCCTACAATAGAGTGTCTGGTTTCAATCACGCCAGCACCAACCACCACAGTACAACTGGGGCAGTCCAGGCTATTCACATAGAAACATGGAGGAGGCAGGTTCTCAGAGTGAGGGGGCACAGTTGAGGTCCCTTGGGTGGACCTGACACTTGGTAGTCTTTGCTGTTGCCCACAGGAAGTGACAAAGAAAAGCAGTTCCTCATCACATCAGTGAAGCTGGGTGAGTACCCCTTGTGCATCAGAATAGAACTGTGCTCTGTGAGTTTTCAAGGCTGTGACCTTTCAGAAACACATCTCCAGGCCATTTCTTCTGCGGCACCTCTGGGTGTGTTCAAACTGCCAATCTTTCACTTAGTAGTTCAGCGATCAACAAATTGTACCACCCAGGGACTTCATATACATACATACACGCATGAATTATATACGCATGCATGTGTATGTACATGTGTGCATCACCCATGCATGTTTATGTACATGTGTGCATCATCTATGCATGTTTGTATATGTACATGTGTATATATAATGTACATATACGCTTGTGTGTCTGTATATGTGTACATATATGTACACACACATAAAGTATGCTTTATCTAAGTGAAAAACTCTTGAGATTTTCACATTTACAAACCAAACCAAAATAGCATTCAGCAAAGAGAACCACAGCCTTTCTCACTCCTGAGGAAGCTATTCACTTGGTCAACTGTGTCAAGGTGTTCGTTGCCCATGTTACAGAGTGACTTGACCCAGCTTCTTTCAAACTCCTACACCCTTTTTCAGCAGCCCAGCCATATCCAATGAGATGTCTGGTGACCTATAAACATACTTTACATTCCAAGATCCACCCAACAACAGCAGAAGGCACATTGTTTCTAAGTGTTCATGAAATATTCAGCCACATACACCACATGCTGCGTTGTAACACAAAGTTTACCGACAGAATAGAATAAATGAATGAGAAATATTATGGCATATTCTTCCCTTTTAATATAACAGCAACAAAAGGTAAACAGGTACTGCTGTGTACAACACAGGTAGAACTGACAGACATGTTGACTAAATGAGGTCTTATGTAATATACTTTATTCAGTATTATTCCAATTATATAACATCCAAAACCAAAAATACCCAAACTCATCGCAGTCGAGTCGGAACCGACTCATAGCTACCCCTCCTTGGGTTTCCGAGGTAGTATCACTATGAAGTAGAATGCATATAACATCCAAGAATGGGCAAATCCTATCTCTGGCAATAACAGAACACTGGTTACTCCTAGGGTGAATATTAACTAAGAAAAGAGTAGGGGGCAATCTTGTGTGCTGGAAATTTTCCCTAACTTGATCTCAGATGAGGTTATAGGAATGGATGTTATATGCCATCGAGTCAGACCCGACTCATAGCGACCCCTCCTTGGGTTCCCGAGGTAATATCACTATGGAAGTAGATTGCCCGACCTTCCTTCTGAGGAGTGGCTGCTGGGTTTGAACCTCCAGCCTTCTGGTTAGCAGTCAAGAGCCTTAGGCACTAAGCTACCAGAGCTCCTATGCAGGTGTAAAAATTTATCGCATCTCACACTGAAAATTAGTACTGTCCTAGGGTGGAAGGACACAGTCTGTAAATGTAAAATTAAAATATTTATTGAAAGTCTAGAGATGGTCTGCACTAGGAAGATGTCCAGATTCACGGAATAAGGATGGCTGCTCCACTGGACAGTGAAGAAGCACGCATCGCTGTACAGTTGAAGCTGGAACTAAAGTTACAAGATCATGATTGGTTTAAGGACTATCAGGTGAGTCAGGTGGGCTATCAAAAGTAGACTTAACAGGGATAGATGGGTAACATGGGATCATGGGACTGGGTAAGGGAACATAACTGCAAGCATACATGCTCTTCCCTTTATTATGGATGGTCACAGGACAATGACAAATGAAGGTTTCTGGGATTCTGCTATTAAAATTGCTTTCTTATTTGTATCTTTTTCTGGGGGTCCATTGCAAAGATTTACGGATAATGCTGTGCTTCAAAACCCTTAGGGTGTAGGCTGTTGCACCTCTAATCTGTTTAACCTTAGGGGAAAGACCTCCTGGTAATCAATTGTGACATCCTGCACTTACCAGATCACAGAGGAAAAACGTTTCCTTTATCATATACGTTTTGGTCAGTACAAAGGTTAGAAAGAGGCTGCTGTTAGAAATGGCAACTTTAAAATGTAACATGGATTCTAGACTCACGTCACGACTTAGAGATGAAGTTAAAATCTCTGCTTTCAGACGGCTCCGCTTACACACAACAGGTCCTTCAGATTTTATAGTCATACGCTACCCGTGACACACTTTATTGCATGTGTGTGTATATTAAAGTTAAAAACTGTTTATAATTGTCATTTACCAAGACATTTCATCTTTTACTTACTGGACTTGGGAACGACTGGTGTCTTCTTGCCTCTCTCACCTTGAGAGACTCCTGTCTCAGGATCCTCAGGCCTTGAAGAGATCAGACTGGGTTTGCACTGTCTAGTGCTCCCAGGGAAAGTTTCTGATATGCTAGAGACGACAAACCAGGAAACAAGCCAAACCGGAGACTTCAACAATTCCAATAATGGTTATTAATTTACGATTCGCAAATAAGTTTTTTCCATACAGAACATAGTCAAATATTTCCAAATACGCTAATACCAACAATTTCTGCTCCCCAAGGGTATCTCTGATTACTGAGATACTTGTTTCAGTTCATCTGTGCATTAAAGAAAATGTAATCTGTTCTCTATAGAGGAACTAATACAGCTATCGCCAGTTCCCAAACACAAGGGAGAGTATTGAACCCCACGGTCACGAGGTACAGCGCTCTGAGTTCCAGCACGGAACCACCCCTCCGTCGCACCACCGTTACTTAAACCGGAAGCGGAAGTATGTGCTCTCAGTTTGGTCGCGTGTGTCTCGCGTTCCTGTTCTGGTGTGAAAAGAGTTTTCCTCGCGCCAGGCGGCCTGCTACCCTAGTTGTGGCCCCGCAGGCTCTGGTCCCGGGTCCGAGGCGCTGTCCCCGCCCTCCCGCGCTCTCTCTGGTTCTCTGCTTCCCGGAGCCTCGGGATCTCTTGCTGCCCTCGCGCCGCCGCCGCTTCCTGTTCGAGCCCGGCGCGGCGGCCACAGGTGCCTTCTGGACTCGGAGCAGCCGGGGCGGACCTGTATCTCTGGTGCGGCAACAGATAACATCGCGAGACCTCTCGCGGAGCAAACGTGAGGATCGCGGCGCCTCGTGGATGCAGGGAGTCGTTAGTTTGTGTCTAAACAGCCTGTGCCCACTCGCCAGGTGGAGCTCAGGGTCCCGGTGTTTGCTTCTGGTTTTACAGTTCATTCTCAGCCGGAGGACTGTGTCATCCGACACCTCCCCCTAACACACCCGGAGACGCGCACTGCCGTCACTTTCCGCCCCTCATCAGGCCTCAGTCACCCCTGGCCTGTGTGTGTATTTACCGTTATTGAGCAAGTAGCACCCTTATCGGACTCTGCGGAAACGTGACGTGTGTTTCAGAGAAAGTCCCCTTGGCTGGTACTGCTGCTCGAGTGTGTGCAACTGCTGATAATCTGTGCGTGTCCTCAGTGATCAGTGCCATAGGCCAGAAGGAACAAGGAAACAAAATACAGTGTCTCCTGTAGATACTTAACGTAGCATGGGAGGCGGTCGTCAGCAATGAAAAACCAAGGACATCTAATACCTGTAGTAAACGGACCTGACTCCAGAGTCTGGAAAATGGTATTTATGTAAGTGAAGATTCAGAAAGTGTTTTTAATTTAGTTTGGTGCCTGGTTCTGTGGGTCTGAGTGCACATGGGATGGGTCGGGTTAGGAGGAAGATTCCAGTTGGGAAAATGAGTGTTGAAGTCCCAGAAGCTGCAGAGAGCCCAGCAAACTCCATCCCTTGATGGAAGGCAGAGCTGATTGAAGTCGGAAACACGGTGTGGGTGGGGAGTCGGTATGAGGCAGGTTGGAGGAGGCAATGGCGGCAGCCCGTTCAGAACCATGCTGACCACTCTGGGCTTGCTGAGGCCCGTGCACAGCCACGGAGGGGCGTTAGGAAGTTCCTGCGCTGCACAGAGAGTTTGGAAATGACAAGCATGATTGAGTGACATCAGCCAGAAGCCTGTTATGAACACATTAAAGGACACCGTGAGAAGGCGTGGACTTGGAGATTGGTTGTGGATTATCAGGACGGTGAGTGATAGAATGTTGGAGGTTCGGAGCATCCATTGACAGCATGCTTGTTCTTGAGTTACAGGCTGCAGAGTACTGAATGCTTCTCATACTTGAGTGTCAATGTGGAGAACCCGGGGATCTTGTTAAAATATGTTTTTTGATTCAGCAGTTCTGGTGTGCGGCTTGCCATTCTACATAGTGAACAAGGTCCTACTTTATGCTGGAAATAATAAGTCTAGCAATAAAGATGGAAATTAAAATTGGAGAGTGCTGTCAGAGAAATAATAAAAGGAAGCATCATGTCACAAGGGCGACACTCGGGTAAAGATCATGTGGGAGAGAGAGACAGATTGAGACAGAACTTGATACTGAGTCCAAGAAATTTTAGTCAGAATTAGCATGGAGGGTGGCAGGATGGAAAGAAGTGGGAACAAAGGAGGGAGATGGCTCCTTGGAGGAAACGTAATGAATTTGTGTTTTATGATGTTGAAAGGCAGAGAACTCAGGAATCCTCCCAGGTTTCTCAAAAGCTTAAGGACTGGTGATGTTGTGGTTTCAGAGTAAAGAGGGGTGGGCAGCAAGGAAAAACCCAAGGGGAATAAAGAAATGTTAATTGCCAGAGCAATAGGAAAATTACCAATGACAAATTACAGTGCTATAAATGACGTGAAACATTTTTGTACAGCACAATACAAGGGTTTGAACTGCATGTAATTAGAAATGAATGAATCACGAGAGATTCGTTGCCAACACTAAAAATTATGTTCTCTGTGAGTATTCACCCATCTTAACATCAAGTATCAATGCAGGTGTTAATCTACAAGGGATAAAGTTGCATAGGTGAACCCACAATTCCCACATTGGACCCCTGATTCCCTGGAGGAAATTAGGGTCAAGTTTTCAAGCCTGACCAGGCCCGATTGCTTCTCAGGCTCTGGGATAAGTGAATTCCTCTATCTGTGATCTTGCTGAAGAAACAAAAGGACCAGGGAGCTCCGTAAACAATGCAGGCATGGGCTCTGGAGGCAATAGACTGTTCAGACTTCAGTGCAGATGCCTGAGCCTGGGAGGAAGGCGGCACACACCTGTCACTCCTGCTTGCTTACCACTGTCTCCTCCCATCCTTCTATTTCAGCTCTCCAGTGTGGGACAGGGAGAACGTGCCCAGTCTAGGCACCTGGGGACGCAGGGCTAAATCTCAAGGGACTATTTCAGCGGCTGTGACTGGTGTGTGGACCAGATATTATTCATCTGCCTCCAAACTTTCCAGTGGGCCACTTCCCGTCCCATCCCCCTTCCTGATGTGGCTTCTTGGGCTCAGAGATGATATTCCCTTAGACCTGCAGGAGCTGGAGCCAAGAAATGGTAAGTTCCGCGTAGAACTGCTGCTGCTTCCTGCGATTGGATGAGGCTGGATGTGAAGGATTGGGGGATCGGCTGTGTGCTATGGGACTGGTTTCTCAGTGATGATAAAAGATGGCAGAGGAGGTCAAGGGACTGAACCCTGGGAAGTATCCTAAACCTGCTTCACTGTCTCTCGGGCCTTGTCCACATTCTTGTGGTTCTTCAAGACTAGGCTGCCTGGGGTCACCTTCCTTATGTGGTTCTTAGAGCTGGCACCATGAAGCATTCCCATCCCCAGCCTGGGCCTTGGTGCTCGGTATTGAATGACAGAGCCTCCTGACCAGAGCCTGCGGACGGAGCGGCTCTGGCAGTGGAGCTGAGACCGGCCCTCCAGGCCATCCTTGTCCCATCTCTCTGGGCACTGGAACGTTTTCTGTGACTTTTATATCTCCTCCTCTCACCTCGGTAGCCAAGGGAGAGACTTGGTGGGTGAGGGCCCTGACTGTTGATGGGCTCCTGGGTGGTGTTCGTGCTCTCCTGACTTTACTGAGTGTGTGATGCTGGAGACAGGGAGTACAGCTGGAACCTGTGTGGGGTCTCTGCTTCTGTTTGGGTTGGTTGGTTTTTCCTCTAGTGAAGAACGCTTTGGCCTTGAGGCTTTTAAACCAAAAAACCAAACTCACTGCCGTGGAGTCATTTCTAACTCATAGCGACCCCTCCTTGGGTTTTTGAGGCAGTAACTCTAAGGAAGTAGATTGCCCAATCTTCCTTCCGAGGAGTGGCTGGTGAGTTTGAATCACCAACCTTCTGGATAGCAGTCAAATGCTTTAGGCACTATGCCACCAGAGCTTCTGTCTTCACAGAAACAAAGCCCAAACCACACCCACTGCCGTGGAGGGGATTCTGACTCACAGCGCCCCTAGAGGACAGAGTGGAACTG